ATTGTTTCAAACAACTCCTTCACAGTCTCCTGTTCCTCAGACGGGGACTTCATACTCAACGAACCCATTTGCTTTGAGAGAGATTCTGAAAGATTCTCTGCAGCTACAAGTTGTGAATTCATTGCATTATGTACACTACACAATGATTGAATGTGTCTGGAAAGGGGAAAAATCTCCAGTTCAGTAAAATGCTACTCAATGTTATTCTTAGTAACAAGACAAGAAAATATATGTTCTTTTTTTTTTTATTTTTCGATTAGCACACAAGAACTCTGATCCACTACATATATGAGAGACATTCCCCTCAAAATTGGCGTGAAAAACACCAAAGAGTAGCCATGAAACCAAACTTGTCCATAACATACTGAAATATTTTGAAAGTACAAGCATACTTGTCCTTAACAGCCACAAAACATTGAAATATCTTAGAAAATACAAGCCTTTTCTCCAGCCAAATATGCTAAGCTCCTTAAAAACAGAAGTTTCTCAATATGGCGGCATCTTAAGTATTAAAATTTTGGATGGGCTGTTGTGATAAAACAGAAGCTGAAATAGGGCAAAAGTTCCCCTTTATGAAAGACTCCAAGCTAAGGATCCTCCCATAAAGTGTTTTTTCTCTATGCTACTTTATTTATTTAATTCTAAAAATGGGGGAAATGTTAGTGTATACAGTGAAAGGTTGGAATATGCACTCAGGCCGAAGTCATTGTTGCTCACATATGGTTCAGATTATTGAGAACACTCTTGATTGTACAAAGACACCAGTATCACAGAAGTACTCAGTTCACTTCTCAGGGTCTTTGGCAAGCTGGAAGCTATCTATGAAAATAATGGCTGAAAAATAGCTAACTGAACAGCCTAACACTGCACGATGGAAGATCAAATCATCCTTGGTATACTGAAATACAAGACCAGATCTCTGATTTATTCAGGATGGGACCTTGAGATCAAATACTCAAGCAGAAGCAACTTCAAACGTGTAGATTTTCTGGCCAAACATGCTCACTTGCTGGAGTACGAACTCAGAATTGTCCATGAACCACCCGCAGGCATCTTGGGACTCTGATAGAGCTGGAAAGTTTAGAAAAACCTATGAGAAGAAATTAAGGGGGAAACAAGGGACAAAGAATAAAGATCCAGCAGATCAAGGTTGTTATCCCAAGGGTCCTGATTATGGGGAGTAAGTAATAATGTGTGTAGTGTGGCTATAGGCTCAACTTAGATGCTAGAGTCACCTTTTGGCTTGCATTAATATTTTGTTGAGCACTCAATGTTTTAGAGAAAAGACAGTTGTGAGGAGAGTGCTGGCCTCTCAAACACCAGTGAGGGACCTGTTATGTGTTGTTGATTTGTGTTTCTTGTATCTTTGTTTATCAATAAGGAATAGGGTTTTGGCTAGAATTAATGAAGTTCCTTTTGTAACACTGATCCAGTTCTCTAAGTTCATCAATAGCAAAACCTCAGAATTTCCCTCCTTTATTGCTTGCTTGCTTTAAGTTATTGTTGTGCATTTATTGTTTAGAACAGGGTTAAATCAATTGGTATCAAAGCAGTACGATCCTAGGGCAATGAGTTAAGAAGAATGGTAAAACAAGTGCAATGTGCTGACCTAGACGTACAAGAATTGAAGGAAACAATTGGAGGGTTGACCAAAGATGTGAGTATTCTCAAAGAAGTGGTATTGAGGATAGATGTGACTCTGGACCGGATGTAAAAGAATTCAGCAAAGTACCACACGCATGATGAGGAAGCTTCTCACAAAGAGGGAGATACAGGTGGTTTTGTCAGGGACGAGAAGATGTTGGAAGGTGTAGGAGATTGGAATTGCCTATCTTTGTAGGGGAAGACCCACTAGGATGGCTCTTCCATGTTGAAAGGTACTCCCACATCAACTCCATGACTGAAGAAGAGAAGTTAGATGCCATGATGGTTTATCTCAAAAGAAAAGCCTTGAATTGGTATCAATGGCTAGATGCTAGGACACCATTGTGCAGCTGGTCAGAATTTAGGAAAGAACTACTATGACGTTTTCACTCTACTCAACTTAGGGTTGAACATGAGACATTATTCGCGACCAAACAAGGTGGTTCTGTGCTGGAATACATGGAGAAGTTTGAGAGTTTGTCTATGCCTTTGAGAGAAGCATCCGAAGAATCTCCAATCAGCACTTTTTGTTCTGGTTTGAAGACTAAAGTTAGAGCCAAGTTGAAGCTCTCACATGCGTTGACTTTGAGGGAGGTCATGGAGGCAACCAATGCGTAGACAAGTGAAACCAGTTCCTGGAGGAAGAGAAGAGGCTTAGGGTTTCACGAGCCCAAAGTTTTCCACCTGCGTGTAAGTCTTTTCTGGCCCAACCCTTTTTCCAAGGGTATCACATGCTAGATGCATGCAAGAGCACTAGTGCGGTCTCCACAGCATCGCATGCAGACTCTTTTAAGAAACTAGGAACCAAATCGAGCGATTCAAATATGGGCAGTAACACAATTGGTATGAGGAGCATCTTGAAGACTACCCAATGCTGAGATTGCCCAAAGACAAGAATTGGGTCTGTTTTATGCGTGTTGAAAAATGACTCAACTATGCTTGCAAAAATAAACATCTTCAAGTGATATTGTTGAGACGGATGCTGAGGACACTACTGAAGAGCTCAACCCTGCTACTGAAAAAGAAGAGAATTTTGAGGCTGACAAAGATGCAACAAGAATGGAATTATCCTTAAATTCCATTGCTGGGTTTGGAAGTAATCACATGATGAAGGTGAAAGGCCAAATTGCAGAGGAAGAGATAGTCATTTTGATTGACAGCGAAGCCACTTACAGCTTCATAGCTGAAGAATTATTGGGAAAATCCAGTATTACTATGGATGAGATTGCTGAATATACCATCACTGTAAGGGATGGGTACACACTCCAGAGAAAACAATGCTGTAAAGATATGAAAATGAAATTACAAGGGCTTGATATGGTACAGACTTTCTATCCCTTCCCTTTGAGAGGAATCGATTCTGTTCTAGGGGTGGAGTGGTTGAGATTCCTAGGTGATGTAAAAGTCATTTCAGGGCAATTAACTATGAAGATTGGAAAGAAGGGGAGCCGGGTATGTTTATAGGGTGACCCCTCATTATCAAGAACTCAAGCTTCCTTTCGATCATTACTATGGTCTGTGCAAAAGAAAGGACAAGGTTTTTTTGTTGAGTACAGTAGCTTTGAGAAGACTCAAGAAGAAAAGCAAGAATAGCCACCTGAAGTGACGATGCAGATAGAAAAATTTCCATTGCTTTGCTGTGCTTTAGGAGAATTACCTCCAATGCGCTCTCAAGACCATGCTATAGTAATTAAAATAAGGAAGCAGCCTCCGAATATTTGCCCTTGTAAGTATCCTCACTTGCAAAAAAATGAGATTGAAGGCATGATTCAAGAAATGCTCAAAGCTGGAATTATTCAGCCCAGTAACAGACCACATTCAAGCTCTGTATTATCCCAAAAGCTAGCTGTTGACGTTGGAGAACTAACCCACTTAAATACCCCATTGAGCATCCCATACTATTTAATGTAGGATTTGGTATCCTATACTACCAAGTCTCCATCATTATCCCAAGGGTCCTGATTATGGGAAGTAATAATGTGTGTAGTGTGGCTATAGACTCAGCTCAGATGCTAGAGTCACCTTTTGGCTTGCATTAATGTTTTGTTATGTTTTGTCGAGCACTCAAACAATGTTTTAGTGAGAAGACAGTTGCGAGAAGAGTGCTAGTCTCTCGAACACAAGTGAGGGACCTGTTATGTGTTGTGAATTTGTGCTTCTTGTATCTTTGTTTATCAATAGGGTTTTGGCCAGAATTAGTGAAGTTCCTTTTGTAACACTGATTCGATTCTCTGAGCTCATTAATAGCAAAACCTAGAATTTCCCTCCTTTATTGCTTGCTTGCTTTAAGTTATTGCTGTGTATTTATTGTTTAGAGCAGGGTCATATCAGCCTCTATATAGAAGACAAACATGGTCTGGATGCTAGCTAGCCATCTAGTTTGTTGGTAGGGTCTTTTACTTTAGTTGCATTTTCTGTTTCAAGTTCTATACTTGCCTTTATTTAAAAATAAAAAAAAATAAAAAAAACAACCTAACAACCAAAGAATCTCTCCTGATCTTCTCAGCCACTCAAACTAGAAGACTGAAGAACACCAAGAAACAATAAAGAATAAAAGGAAAAAAAATACCTCTCCTCCATCTCTAATTAGTTACTTAATGAAAAATAAATTTTTTAAAAATAGGTTAAAGCCAACACTCTCCAATTGAAATTACATGAAGATGTCAAGTGGACTAAGTTTCACGTTTTCATGTTCAGTCCAAGAGTTACAATTTACTTTACCTTGAAGGTCTATATCTATTCTGAATAGCTGCATGATCTACATGTGATCCACAGTATTCACTGAATGTATTGAGTTCAAGGACGTTGAAATGCATCTCCAATTCGATTAACTGATTGGTCAAATCCTGAAATAAGATAGGCGTGTACTGTTAAATCCCAGTCACTAGATATCCTTCATCTGTAAATATTACTTACACCACCTGATTCAGACTCAGAATATGCTGCTGCTTCAACTGAAGTTCTGAATTCAACTTCTGCCGATTCCATAGGTCCCAATATTGGCTATCAGAAGTTTGCTTAAAAATCCCTTCCATGTACATCTTCCTTGCCACAACTGTCATGTGATAAGATCCACTTTGTCTCACAAATTGACCAGAAAAGAAAGGATGCAAAATATGAAAACTAAGAACTTGATTGCAATGAGCATACCAAGGCCAATGCATTACTTTAAGCTAACTAGCATATTATTTGTTTGTTATTCAATGGTTCTACTAGCAAAGCTTGAAAACGGCTGGAAACTTTTGTGGATTACTCAGTCCACATGTTTTGTTAATCTGCGTAAACTGATATAGGGATAACCATGACAAAAAAAAAAAAAAAAAAATCTACACATACAGTCACACTCACACTAGATAGAGTCCAGCAAATCAGGAACTATTATCAAACAAGGAAAAAAGGTAGATAACTGCTGAACAACCAAATAAACAACGGCAGCATACAAAATCAGCATTTAAGGGATCACTTCCAGGATGTCACTCGATTTCCAACTAATAAGAGAAAGAAAGAATGTCCTACATAGCAAAGGGAAAATGACAATTCTAGCTGTCTATGTTGATAATATTGTTGATAGAGCACAATGGCGTCTTGCAATCCATGTAGCTGACCCTACCTAGTGGGATAAAGGCTTGTTGTTGTTGTTGTTGTTGTTGTATGTTGATAATATTGTTCTCACTGGAGCTGACACAACTGAAACTGATCACATTAAAGCTGCATTAGCCTAAGAGTTCCAAATAAAGGATCTTGGAGAAACAAAATACTTCTCTGGGATGGAAGCGGCCAGATCAAAGAAGGGGATTTGCACCTCTCAAAGAAAGCATGTTCAGGATCTCCTAAAGGAGACAGGCATGATGGGATGCAGACCAAGTGATACTCCCATGAGAGTGGACAATATCAGTGAAGATGAAGATCTTGGTAAGTCGGTTGATAAGGGAAGATACCAACGTATGGTGAGAAAGTTGACATATCTCTCTCACACCAGGCCAGACATCGCATTTGCAGTATGTGTGATTAGTCAACACTCACATGATCCAAAGCAAAAACACCTAAACAACGTTTACAAGATTCTTTACTATCTGAAAGGTTTACCTGGTCATGGATTATCGTTTAAAAAATCATATAAGAGAAATGTGGAGATGTTTATAGATGCTAATTGGGCAGGTGACCAAGATGACCGAAAGTCTATCTCAAGGCATCGCACATTTGGGTGGGCCAATCTTGTCACCTGGAGAAGTAAGAAAAAAAGTGTTGTTGCAAGGAGTAGTGTTGGGGCTGAATTCAAAGCAATTGCTCTTGGAATTTGTGAGGGTATTTGGCTCAAGCAAGTCTTGGAGGAGTTGAAGCAAAGTATGAATCTCCCAATTAAACTATATTTATATAGTATGGCAGCCATTAACATATCTCATAATCATATCCAACATGATAGAACCAAGCATGTTGAAATTGATTGGCACTTTATGAGAGAGAAAATATATGATGTTATTCAACTGTCCTACATCCCATCCAGAGAACAAACAGCAGATATTATTATGAAAGGATTGGCTCGAGACAAAGTTTGAATATTTTGCTGGCAAGCTGGACATAATTAACATGGATGGTCAACTTGAGGGAGTGTCGATAACCTAATATTTCTAAATAAACATTATTTATTTATTGTAAATATGTTATTAATTAGCCAGATTCTTTGTATCATTTTCCTTCCCTATATCTCGGCCTATCCCAATATTTATGTCCTATATATACTGCTTTGATTCTTTGTACTTGTATATATTCCCTCAAAAGGGTTCTGTGATAATATAGAATTATTTTCCCTCAATATCTTCAGAGTGCTAAGCAAATGGTCTTCAATCCTATAAGGAGATAAAGGGAGAACAAGAAGGATGCTTTAGGAACTTGTCAAATGAGATCTATTATTGGTAAATAATACATCTAAAGAGTTGGTTGTTGATAGAGCATAAAGAGATCAACCAATACATGTAACCAGCCTCATTTGGTGGAACAAGGCTTATAGTTATTGTTTCTTATTAATTAGGCTGTGATGTTAGGAAATTTTGAAATCATTTGCTCCATTCGATTGAGATAAAGCTGGCTAACTAAAGCAAACATTGTCTTGTAATATTTGTAAATATTTTATCATTATTGTAGCCGATTCTTAGGGGATTAGAAAACTTATTATTTGACCTATAATTTGTCAATGTCTAGACTGTTTTAATAAAATACTTTGTTTATGATCGATTTGATCACAGCTTGGCTATGGTTTTGACTATTAACCCTTGAATCAATGCCTTGATCAATTTAATCACCGGTCTATTTTTTAATACCTTGCTAAGGACTATAAATGTCAACTCAAGTAGTACTACTTCTTAGTCGACTAAAATGTTGCCACAAAATGGTTCCAACACCATCTAGCTAACAGACTTGGAAACTCCCTATTTCACCCCATCATCACCATTACACATGTGATTTGTTAAGATTAAAATTATTTTCTCTGCCCATAATATTATTAATCGCAACATGTAGTACATATAGGGCAGATAAGGGTCACAGTAATAAATAAAATTAAAATCTGATATGATCTGATATCTGATTCAAATTTCAAATCAGATTCAAAACCCCTAAATCTAGAAATAATAATACAAATAAAGATAATTAAATAGGCATTAAATAGATACTGAATAGATAAGCTTAATGAGTCAGCCTATCCATTGGGCCAGGCCTAACGCCTTCCAACACATGTCATTCACCTAAATCATTCTCATTGGATTCTAAAAAATTAAATTCATCACCTTTAATATACAAGTAACATGAACTTTCTTAAATAAAGACAATGCAAATATATATATATATATATCCCATTCAGAAATACCTTGTATGGTCTTATCAAGAAGAGAATGGACCTCCTCAAGTTGTTCAATGACTTGGTACTGCAAAGAGACATGTCATAATTCAAATCAGTCTTTAAAAAAAAAAAAAAAACTCAAACAAAAGGAGTGCGTTAAAAAATTACAGAGATACCACTAGGAAACACTAATGCACTTGAGACATGTTCCTTGTGGGTTTACAAAGGGATTGTAATGCTCTTTTGAGCTAATATTTGTTCATACTAAGAGCTTCATTCTTGCTCGCCCTATGTTCTTGTATTTCTTAGTCCTCTCATAAAATAAATAAAACAGAGGCCCAGAGACTGCTACACTCTGCTGAAGCCTCCTCAACCCAAAAAGGGGAGGGATCAGCAAAATAAAATTGACATCGTCCTAGCCATGATGTTCAGAGGAGTTTTTAAAATATACATATTCTTATTGTTTCATTTCCAGCCATAGAAATAGTAAGCACTTCATCAACTCTAATAAACAGCAGCCAATAGCAGGTGGGAACAACTACTTATCACTAATAGTTATTTTAGAGACAGAAAACTATTACAGCAATGAAATCGCAAAATAAAAGGAAGATGACAAAAATTGTTAATATTCAAATATACTGCCCAGCATTTTAGCTGCTCGTTACCACTGGTTGAGAACTGTCTCAATAACTGGCAAGTAATCAATTAATGTGGCTACGGCTACATCATCAAGATCTTTACTAATCATCAGAATTAATGAAATGAGATGGTTCAAATAACAAGACCATCACTAAAATTCAATCAGAAACGCTAAATTCATGTATACTAAAGTGAACAAACAAAAATTACCATCCATATTTTGCTATGCTCAGATAGAGTGATCAAGCCTCGCTCCAATCCTTCCATGAACTAAGTGACCTGGTGCAAGTGTCTGTAAAGCCACCAGCCTCTTCTATTGACCTCAATAGCAGATCCAGCTCTTTAGTCATCTCATGAATCTGAGCAGTAGATAGACAGATTAGAGAATGTGATAAGGAATCAATAACAAGAAAAAGAAAAGGCCGATGAATATTCATGGAATCAATGTACAGACCAAGATGGAAAAGATACACCAGAAGACATAACATTCATACAGGAACTAGAATGAGGGGCAGATTAAGGAACTCAGGATAATATAGTTCTATTCAAGGATAATATAGTTCTATTCAAGATATACATGAAAATTGTGAATGCTTTTCAGAAGTAATACATTGCCAAATTGCTTTGACAAGTTTGGTTCAGAAGTCGATATCCCAAGCATGGAAGCCCTGCGCTGTTCATTGCCCTGAAATTTACGAATGGAAGATTTCTCAACTGTACTAGTTTCATTCATTGGAAGTTGCGTGGTACAAAATGAGAGCATTTCCATATTTCCTGCTCCTTTCGATGCTTTTTGTCCCTCATTCTGAACTGGTCTACCATTGTAATTGACAGCAGGGAATACACCATCCGTACCCAGAACATCAAAAGGCTTCGGACCATGTCTTGCATGATCTTTTACAACGTTAATATTCCTATTACCTGTACAATATATATTTGGCTTTGATAAGCACAAATCTGAAGATTACCCAGTGTTTTAAAAAGAAGAAACAACAGTCTTTCATTACGAGAAATTTTCACCTGTTGATTGATGAGAAGATATCTGCAAGTGCCTTGAACTACTTTTGCTCAACAATTCATTAGTCATCTGATTACTTTCTTGTAAGCTTCTATGACTAGGCAAAACAGAAGTAGCAGGACTTGTCACACTAAAAGAACCACTACTAAATTCAATTCCTCTAATTTTTTGGGTTTCAATCCTGCTCAGTTTCTCCAGAGAAGCACTTGAAGAAAATTGACCTAGCATAGTGTTATGCTCCAGTGACAGGCATGCATTCTGACCATTAGATTCTTGATTCAGATTTACATCTGAAACCATTTGCTGCTCATCAGGCTTAACAGACCATAAATTTGCCACTGATTTCACTTCTTGGCTCTTAGTGATATCTTCATTAAGTTCTTGACAAGGATCTGCAAATTGCCTGAGTTTTAAATTCCCAGGCACCTCAGAAGCCTGCATACAGTTTTCATCACAAGTTTGATCAACCCCTGGTGGAACAATTTCATTCAATTCATATCTTGGAAATTAAAACCCAAACGAACCTGCTCTAATTCTTGTTTCAGCAATCCATGCAAAAGAGTAGAACATTCCTCCACAGGAAGCTTTAAAGGGGCATTCTTTTCCTCATCAGGCACTACAGAAACAAACTCAGCAGAAGCTTCACTCCCTGCAATACTAAAGACAAGGCATACACAACCTATTGAGTAATCAAAATTCCATGGACAAAATAATCTCTCAGATCACTGGAACTGATAAAATGCATCCTCTATTCCCATTCAAAGTAATAAATCATGTGTCCCAGAAAATGGAAATACGTGCAAATAACAAAAGAGGATACCTGGCAACATTGAACATGACAAGCTTTCCATCTAATGTAAGACATATAAGAACACAACATGGTGTGAGCTCAGTCCTTTCTTCCAAACCAAGTTGAACGCTAACTTTCTGATAGACTGAAGCATTATCAACGCATAGCCCCAAGACCAAATTATCATCACCATTTTCTGGGCAAAAAATTCACATGTTAATTTACATTAAAACAATCAAACAAAATGTTAGATATAGCTCTAGAAAGAGTTTGAAATGATCAAGCTGCTACATAGTTGACATGAAGCAACACTAGTCTTATGATCAAAACCAGAAGATAATTCTATATTTAACTGAATTAATGAAGTATACAGAACTACAAAAGCTTGCAGCAGAATACCCTAGAGAATACCCAAGATGGCGTTGCAAAACAAGAGGAGCAAAATAATGAAGAAATCTAGGAATCTAAGCACATAATTGTGACTGAACAAACAACTCCTGCAAATCTGGATAATGATATTGAAAAACTGGTAAATAAAAAATCTAATGGTTCTCCATTCCTCCTCAAGCTGAAGAGTAATGTTCAGCATTCCCAACTTGCTACTTATTTCCTCAAAATTTGTTCTTGACAAAGCTTTAGTTAGCAAGTCTGCAACTTGCATGCTGGTAGGCATCTAAGCCAAAGCAATTAATTATATTTCAGTCTATCTTCTCTTTTATCAAATGGCAATCTATTTTAACATGCTTAGCTCTATCCTGGTGGGTGGGATTATTATCAATGCCTATAGTTGCTACATTATCAAACCACAACTTCATTGGTGTCCGGACACCAATCTTCAATTCTGTTAACAAACCCTTTATCCATATTCCTTCACAAATTTTCAATGCCAAGCTCAATATTCAGCATCAACACTACTAGCTACAACTAGCTGTTTCTCCTTCCAAGTAACAAGATTTCCCTAGACAAATGAACAACACCTAGTTGTAGGCCTTCTATCTATAACTGAACCCATCCATTCTCAATGAACGATCCCCTTCTTGGTGTCATAAACGGACTATTTCTTCCATGTGCTCCTCTTGGGGCTTAATCATAAACGGACTTACAATGCTCATAGGGAAGCTAATATCAAGTTTTGTGTGACGTAAATATATTAGCTTCCCTGCTAGCCTCTCATATCTTCTGGTATCTATGAGTGTTCCAAAATACACATTTATTTGCTGGCTCGTTTGTTTGGGTGGATTGTTGTGCAATGCGGTACCTGATCTGTGTTGTGCCAGATATTAAGCATGTGTTGTCCAAGATATTCATTTGAATGTAGTTGTGACAGATATTAAGTATGTGTTGGTGTTGTTTATATTTTCTTCATTTTATTTTTTCTTCCACTAGTCATTCAAGATCTTATTTTCTCCATTGAAGTTCCCTAGCTGGATAAATTATTGGCTACTCTAACTAACTCAGCTTCACACTTTATTGCCATATCAGTATCAAAGCTAAATTCAATGATGACACAATTCAGCTACAGCCTGAATATTAAAGGCCATGAAAGACCTCTTCAAAGCCCAAAAATGTCCCTACAATGTGTACCTTCCCAGTCAGACTGCCCCCAGCATCAAACAAACCCCTATCCTTACCACTCTTCACAGCATAAATGGCCACAATCACCCCCTAGTGGTCAGGTATGGTGATTGCTGTGGCAAAGAGAAGCCAAACTATGTCACCAGATCTGCTACCCCACTCAACTTTGATAATTATAACTATAAGAATGCCACATAGGAGGCAGAACATAGCATGGTGCAGTCATAGTTAACTAACTCAATGACAACATAAATAGGGAAGAACTTCTTGTAGTGCAAGAATGTGCATTCGACAAGCTATACCCAAATATGCAACTCCAAAATTGATAAATATATTTATCCATACAATGAACCCTTAGTCAGATTTAGGTTTTAAAAGCCAAAATATTTTGAAAGCAATATCCACACCGCTTCCTAACATAGCAGCAAAAGAACTCACAAGAAAATTGATTGAGAAAATTTAAGAATGACTTATGCTGAAGAAAATGCACGGTGCCTTCCCAAATAGGCAACATCATACCTTGAAGCTCAATTCTTGGAACCCAATTATCTCGATCAATGTCAATGACCACAACTTCACTCTTATCATCATCTACAGACCAACCAAGCAACATAATGTGCTGATCTGTATTTTTCCTGTTAGCATTGATTGCAAGCTGGCTGCACGCATTGATAAAATAATAAGTTAATCAGTTCAAGATTGCAGAAAGGAAAACTACAAAACTACAAGTACGATGATGAGGAGCAGACACCCTTTAAGTAAGAAGCCAACTTTTATTGATAAAAAGAAGTAAACCAAATTTTAAAATTTGTAACACTATACAAAAGGCAAAATTCATCACTAGGAACAATATTAGGGATAAAATCACTAATATGGAAAACCATTGATTTGATGAAATTTTACAGCTATGCAACTGTTGGGTAGATTAGTGCAGAGATAACTCGTTCAACAATAGATGAAGGGCATAGGATAACAAGGGAAGATTTATACTTTGATGGTGATTCCACAACAAATTATTGAGTTAAATTTGAATATGATTTCAGCACTAGTTCCCAAGCAAAGGAATTACATATTCACGTGATGCACATCTTGAAGTTGCTTCTACTTGTTAACTGTTAATGGCTAATTAAGAGGGTAGCTTGGCAGGTAATATTTTTAAAACAACACACAAATGCATAGTCTCAATTTTCTTCAATCTAATTGAGTGTGAAGTTCCTTCACAAGAGAAAAGTAAGAAAGGGAGTTATGCGATTCTAGAAGGTGCTAATATATCTTTAGGCTCTAAGAAGCACCTAGCCATTTTTGGGGGTAGCCAGCTCTAACTTCAGCCTACTTGGTAAATAAAATGCCATAAAAAACCTTAAAAGTTCTCAAGAACAATTTGTTTTATTATAGAACATATAACTTTGAGCCCTGTTAAGAGGGTTAAAGGAAGGCAAAAAAAGAAAAAGATAAAAAATACTTTTGAAAGTTGTTGACTGAAACTTCTTAATTAACAACATTTCTAAAAGATTTGTAGATGATAGATTACAATAGCAGCAGCGGTGGCGTCGGCATCGTTGCTGTTGTTGTTGTTGTTGTTGTTTTGGAGATAAGCCTTGAAAGATTAAAGTCTCACATCTAAAAGTGATAAAAAATAATGAAGTACATTTAAGATTGTGGCAATCCTTATCAAGTAACTAAGCTATCTTGGCAATATGGACAAGACCAAATAAAAGCTCATTTGGATACTGAATAGATAATGGTAATGGACAAAGCTTCACTTCATTAGGACCCAAACAAAAGAATTAACATTGTATCACAGCAAAAAAGGCCAAACTGCCATAAGATTTGAGACCAGAAGAACAAAATTCTTCTGTGACCTAGGGCACCAGAAGTGTAAGGGTACAGGCCCCAAATAATGCAGAAAAATGAAGGTTCAGACCTAAGGCTATGATTCAGAAAACAAGCCCAAGCAAATTGAAATGGATTGGGCATTTGAAAGCTAGACACACTAAAGAAATGATGAGCTAGTCAATGGAATTTCCAAATCTAAGAAAAGATTGGACAATGAAAAATAAGACCCAAGTGTCAAGGAAGTAGATGAGCAAGAATCTTGAACTCATTCAACTAACAAAGCCAAGGAAAATCTCCACAATATAAAGAAAGACAATTTTGCTCCCATGGTCCCTAAAAATATTCTTCCATTTTATTCAAATGACGCGAGCCATTCAAATCATTTCTTATTCTAAAAATTGACATAATATCATAGCTTAATCATGCACATATAGAACAATAGGTATAATTTCTTGTTCATCCCATGCACAATACAATGAGGATCAGGATCGGGCACTGCCCTTGCTCCTTTGTTGCCAGGATCTATAACAATGTGTTCCAAAGAACTAAGTCTAAAAGGAGACATATGCATTGAATTTACGCATTCATAAATACCAAAAGCTTTATGACGAGAACGAAAAATGTTTTACCATTGTTTTAGGTAGGTCAATAACAGGTGTGGTCCGCATCCCACGGGCACAATGTCATCAAATAGTCCTTGATAAATATCATAGAAGGATTGCACAGTTAGTTGAGAATGAACCTGCAAGAAGAAATCCAATCTAGATTTTATAATACACCAATTCAAATAGATGGAGCTTTCATTAGGAACCCTACACTCCCTTCTTGCATTCCTGAACCATGGAAAACAGAAGGCGAAAAAAGAGGGGACAATGCATAAAATTGACGATATAAAAGCAAGAACAAAAGTTAAGCGCATTCATTGAATCTGGTTTGTAATTTGTAATCTGTTGATGCATGGGGACAGTGAAGAGAAGGTCAAATAAGGAGCAAAGGAATCAATTTCCTTATTTGCAGGCATTTCATCTTTTCAAATTTTTTTTTGTATAAAAATAAATTTATTCCAATATTGTCAGTGTCATACCAAACAAATTCATGGTGATAATCATTTCATTCAGGCCCATTCCATTCCTTTTCTATTTGTCAACACCCACACATTCAATGTACCAAACAAGCCTTAACCTTGACAACTTTGGAACTCATTTCCTTGACCCAAGCCCAAATAACCCTGACCCAAACCCAAAACAGACCCCCAAAGGCATGTCTTAGTGCCATACAGCAAAAGAATACACTAGAACATAAAAAGGAAAATTCAGCCACTAATTGTGACAGAAATAGAAGGGGGAAGCAATGCAACCATACAGCACCCAAGTGATAGCACGAGCCAAGCAAAGTCAATCAACTTTCCCTTACTCCAAGTTCTAAAGATTTGGAGGTTTTTATTGCCCTAAAAGGGTTAAGGAGCTACACAGAACAACATCAATAATTTTGTAGCATATGACAACTTATCTCATCAGTTGATATTGGTACTAAGGTCGACTGCAAGTTGAAACTTACGCAGGAAAGTTCACTAGTTGACACAGAGGTATCATAGACTTGTATGATGGAGATGGTGAATAAGAACCTGCATGATTTTATTAAAAAAAAAACAATCTTGAAAGGGCCCATTCTTCAACAAGAATGAACATGCGGGCATTGAAGTGTATTCAGATGCTGTCTGGGGGAGGTTAGTACTGTAGGAGGCCAATTACAAGCAACTCCAAATTTGTTTGGGTAAGTTTAAGTACATGGAGGAATATGAAGCAACCTGCAGCTGCATGGAGTAGTGCTAAACTAGATTTTCATGCTTCAACACTTCAAATTTGTTTGAGTGAGGACAGTGAAATGGATAATTTTGAATTCTGTAAAGAGGGGTAGAGGAAGGCTAAAAATAATACTAATGGAAATTGTTGACCTAGACCTCTTAGTTAACAACATTCCTAAAAACTTGGTAAATAATAGAGCATAATGACATCGTACAATCCATGTAACCAACCCTACCTAGAAGGATCAGGCTTCTTGTTGTTGTACTCCTCAAGGAACTTAGTGTAACCTATAAAAGTATTTTGTGATATCATGGTGACTATCAATCTTATTCATCCCTATAGGTAATAGGATCCAAGATAAGTAGGGAGAAATAAGGAATATAAATCTTCATTGAAATATGAAATAAGAATCCAACATCATAAATTAATAAAGATAAAAGAAAATCTTTAATAGAAGATGAGTAAGAATCTTAAACTCATACAACTAATAAAATCAAAGGAGAATCTCCACTTGTATAACAAAATAATGATTGTATTTCTAGATGATTTCTACAAGTTGCACCTTAGTGTTTATAGACAGAAAAATGATTAATAATTCCCAAAAATACTCTCACCAATCCATAACTCAAATAATGGGGCATAACTACTAGAAGAATAAATAAATAAATAAATAAAATGACTAACATAATCTATAATACCCACTATTCCTAAATTTAAGGACCACTCAACAAAACATAAAAATAATCTAAAAATATTATTAAACAGATAATATCTTAAATAACTTGAAAAAAATAATTATTCCTAATATTGCTATAACTGGCCCACATCACCCATTATCCCATGCTACTCGGTACTTTATAAATAGGACTACAAATGCAGCGGATGACCAACATTTTATCAAGAAGAAGATTGACTCTAGCCTACTTGAGTTATGTTCAAGCTAGTGCTTGAGTTGCAGATCTTAAGCCAAAGGCAACTGCTAGATTTAAGCTTGAATAGTAAGCTACCAAGCTGAGAATGATTAACATTTTCTCCTCAACTCAAGAAGTGTTGAAATTTGACCTCAATAAGGAGGCCTACAAGAAGTTTTTATGCAGATAGGTTTTCACCATCATTAACAATAACAATAATGAGCCTTATCCTACTACATGAGGTTCGCAAAAAGAATCACATTATGCCACTGTGTTTTATCAACAATAGGAAAATATGTTTTCATCATTTAATTTAATTTAATAAGTTAATATGTTTTAGGGAAATAACAAAAACAAGTCCCTATACTTTGATAGCATATTGTTTTTAGTCTCTATAGTTTTATTCATTGTCTTCAATGCTATTAGTTTAATCAATCTGCAATGTTAGTCTCCATAGTTTTAAAGATACACATAAAGACCATGAGATGGCATTGACAAATGTAATTTCACCATAACTTTGTGATGTAAAACACAAACACTCACGCTCACACTGATTTAAATAGAAAAGGAAAAGTGAGATGAAACAAAAACAAAGAGTGGTAGGGAGAGGGACGAGAACAGGGTAGTAAGGGAAGAGACGAGGAAGGACAGAACAAAGAGGGAGGAAGAACTGAGAGGGGTAGGACGCAGACTGGAGGGAGAGAGTTTTCAGAATATATCAAATAACTTCATTCATTTCCTCCCCTTCTGAATACACAAGTCATGCTATTTATAAGTATGAGGTTTCCTTCCTAACAAGGAAACGTCCACTTGTGTTGCCTGGTTTCCTTCACAAGAAAGAAACTTACAAAAGTTAAGTGAAAAGCAACAACAACTAATAAACTAATGAAAAGCAATAAAGAACTAATAAATTATTTCCTCCTAAAGTAATATTTTCCATATTTTCTGTCAATTCCCCCTTGCTACAAAGAACTCTCCTCCGGAAAAGTAGAGAATTGATAGGCTTCTAGCAAGGCAAGATTAAGTTGTTGGAATTCATCTTCTGAAATCCAGGTGGCATCTTCATCAGATCGACCTCTCCAACGAACCAAATAACAACGGAGGGGCCCTTTAGAGGTAAAGACCATTTGATCATCCATAATGGTTTCAATTTCATCAACTAATGGTGAGACAGCAGGCAATGATGGAATTGGCACCTGTGAAAGCCAAGTACCTGCAGAATCATCAGAAAGCAAAGGGGGAGGCTCAAAAGTTCCCCAGTAAGGCATAAGATCCTCCACATTAAAAAATGGGCTTATGGCCATATCAGAGGATAATTCTAAAAGACAAGCATTAGGTCTTAATTTCTTTGTTATGCGAAAAGGTCCCGAAGCTCAAGCATGCAACTTTTTAAAAGCGTGTTTAGGGTAACGTTCTGGACGAATGCAAGCCATAACATAATCACCTATATTGAAGCTTTAAAATCAGCGATGAGTACTAGCAGATAATTTATATTGCTCATTACTCGTCGCTAATTTACGCCTAATTTCAACATGTATTTCATGAAGGCTATTGGCAAAGGATTCTGCAGATTCAAAGATGCGAAATGTTAACGGGATTAGCAAGAGGTCAATAGGCTGTTTAGGATTAAAACCTTGAACAATCTGGAAGGGACTCGTGCCTGTAGACTTATTCACTGAATTATTATATGCAAACTCTGCAGTGGGTAAAATCAAATCCCAGTTCTTCGACCTATCTCCAACTAAACTCCGAAGCAAATTACCTAAACTACAATTAGTGACTTCAGTTGGCCTATCAATTTGAGGGTGGAAAGCAGAAGAGAACTTCAATTGGGTATCAAAAAGTTTCCATAGGGTCTTCCAAAAGTAGCTAACAAACTTAACATCTCTATCAGATACGATAGTGGTAGGTAACACATGCAAACGCACAATCTCCTTAAAGAACAACTTTGCCAGATGTGAACATCCGTAGTTTTGCTACAAGGAATAACGTGAGCCATCTTTGAAAACCTGTCCACAACAACTAATACAAAGTCATGAGCTCTAGCTGTGTGAGGCAATCCTAAGACAAAATCCATACTCAAGTCTTTCCAAGGTGCCTCAGGAATTGGCAAAGGAGTATACCAACCGGTATTTTGTCGCCTGGCTTTAGAAGTTTGACAATTTCGACATTGAGACACTATGCGAGCCACATCACGCTTGAGTGAAGGCGAGTAGAACCTATCTTTGACTAATGCCATTATCTTATTAACCCCGAAATGAACAACTAAACCTCCAGTGTGTAACTCCCATATAAGAAAATCTCACATAGAAGTACGTGGGATGCACAACTTGCTTTCACAAAAGAGATGACCGTCTTTAAGGATGAAATCAACATGCTCATGACGGTTACCACTGCGAACTTCTTGGTATATTATCCCAAAATCTGGACATGAAGCATAGTCTTCCTTCAAGTTTTCAAAACCAACAACACTAACGCTCATAGTGTGCAACAAGTTGATCCGTCGACTCAGGGCGACAGCCACTGTAGTTTTTGTTCCTGAACCATGCTTGACCACAAAAGTGAATCCCTGAACATACTCAACCCATTTAGCATGTTTAGCATTTAAGTACCATTGAGAGTTGATAAACCTAAGCGCCTGATAATCAAAGTAAAGAACAAATTGTTGCGGAAGAAGATAGTACTTCCAACGCTCAAGGGATCTCACAATCGCATAAAATTCCTTGTCATAAGTGGAGTACTTTTGTTTGGCATCATTGAGCTTTTCGCTAAAGAAAGCCATAAGGTGACCTTCTTGGCTTAGTACACCTCCGATTCTTGTCCCAGACGAATCACAAGCAACTTCGAAACACTTTGTAAAATCCGGTAAAGACAAGACTGGAGCTTAAGAAAGCTTCTTCTTAATATCTTGGAAAGCCACGGAAGCTGTAGAAGTCCACTGGAACTTGTCTTGTTTTAGGCAATCAGTGATAGGAGCCATAATGGTACTGAAGTTTCTAATGAAGCGTCTATAGAAAGAAGCAAAGCCATGAAAACTTCATACATCATGGAGAGATTGTGGCTCAGGCCACTCTCGAATGGCTTGGACTTTCTCAGGGTTAACTGCTAAACCCCTTTCAGAAACTATGAAACCCATGGAGATGACTTGATTTTGAAGAAATGAACACTTAGGCAAGTTAACATAAAACTATTCTTAACACAAGGTGAGAAAAATTAACTCGAGATGTTCCAAGTGTTCTTCTTTTGACTTGCTAAAAACTAGTATGTCATCAAAGTATACCATCAAAACTTTTCCCAAGTATGAGCGAAAGAGGTGAGTCATTACTCTCATGAATGTACTTGGGGCATTTGATAACCCAAAAGGCATGACAAGCCATTCAAACAACCCATCTTGCGTTTTAAAAGCAATCTTCCACTCATCTCCAGGTCTAATCCTGATCTGATGATAACCACTTCTGAGGTCAATCTTTGAAAACCAACTAGATCCAAATACTAAATCAAGCATGTCATCAAGTCTAGGAATGGGAAACCTATACTTGATGGTGATCTTGTTGATCGCTCTACTGTCTACACACATTCTCCAAGAGCCATCTTTCTTTAAGGTTAAAAGAGCAGGTACTGCACAAGGACTCATACTATGCTGGATATAACCCCTTTCCAACAATCCATTGACTTGTCGGTTAAGCTCTGCCCTATCTTTAGGGTTCATCCTGTAGTACGGTAGATTGGGGAGTTGTGAACCTAGAATGAAATCAATTGCATGTTCGATATCTCTCATTGGTGGTAATTCAGATGGAAGCTCATCTGGAGTGATATCCCGAAATTGTTGTAAGAGCTGTTGCACCTCTTCTGGCATTTCTGAAGTAGTAGCAATTCGTTGTGAGATCTTGGATACCAAAATAAACACAATCGTACTTTCTCTGCTTTCTTGTACAATTGTTTTTCTGTCAGAAGATGCAAGTTATGGGTTTTAGGTTTTGTGCCTTTTGATTTACTTAAGTATTTGCCTTCGTTGTCAAGCTTAGCAGGACGTAACAGGATTGTCTTGCCTCCATGCTTAAATGTATAGGTATTCTCACGACCATGATTAATAACATTGTGGTCATAAAGCCACAGTCGACCAAGTAAAATGTAAGCAACATCTATTGGAAAAACATCACAAATAATCTCTTCTTTATAGTCACCTAAGTGAAGAGAAACGCGACACTATTGGGTGATTGGTAAAGAAGTTTTGTCAACCCATGCAACACGAAAAGGTTTTGGGTGAGATTCTGTCTTGAGGCCAAGTCAGGCTACTCCTTGACTAGAAATAACATTTCTAGAACTCCCTCCATCAATCACTAATTTGCAAGCTTTATCTCCACACTTCACAAAAGTGTGGAAAATACTTGTTCGCTTCCATGAATCACTAGGCAGAGGGACAAATAGAATGCATTGCATAACTCCAACTCGACGTCTCATACCCATGTTTATCAATGATGATGTCCTCATCGACATCTGAAGGACACTCAACTGGATCTATGACAACGTCAACATTTGCATTGTCTTCCTTACCCTCACATTGTGAGTCAATAACTAGAGTATCCTGTGGGCATTTCGACGCAATGTGACCCTTTGAGTGATAGCGAAAACACTCGACAAAAGAATTGTTAGGGCGGGAAGCAGGAACTATAGCCTCACTAGGCTTAGAAGTATTACCCTTCAACCCAGTTGCTTGAGTAGGTGTAAAAGACGAGCTAGGCCTAGATGTAAGTGCTCCTGTTGGTCATTCAGACAGACTGGAAGTTCGTGCTTGTCTAAACTAATTGCTCTGCATGTCGATACGCTTTGCAGACGAGTACTGTGACAAAGACTCTACTTCCAAAGTCTTATGATAAGCTTCTTCAAGAGACTCTGGAAAGTTTTACTTGAGCTCCTTCTATATATATGGCTTGAGTCCATTAACAAACTTGGTAATGGTGCGCCATTCCTCTTCATCCACATCACATCTAATCATAAGGTCATCGAATCGAGAAATATACTCGAAAGTTGTGGAGACTTGCCTCAAATTAAGGTATTTGTCATACAGTTAACTCTTATAATGAGTCGGCACATATTTTTCTTTTAGCTTGGCCTTCATTTCATCCCACGTCTCAATCGGTGGATAACCTTGTCGCTCAATGTTCCTTTGGACATTTTGCCAATATTTTCTAGCAGATCCCACGAGTTTCATCTTCGTAAACCGAACTCGTTGAATATCTCTCATGTCATACCATTCAAAATAATCTTCCATGCTGGCTAACCAATCCAGGAACACACTAGGATTCAATCGTCCATCAAACTCAGGAGCTTCAACTTTAACCTTTTTGGTGATGTCATCAGTATGTGTCCTTCTAAGGCCTTCTCTACCATTCCTATGGACTAGCTGGTATGGTCTATAATGTTGTTCTTCAAGCCCTTGTCCATCCCAAGTATCATCTATGTCATCAAAATGATGATTGGTAAACTCGTGAGGAGATGGTCTATTGTGTCTTTCACCCATAGCTCTAGAGGAATGACCAATCCTAAGGGAATTACCTCTAAGTTGATTGTGGATTGGGAATTGCTCATTTCTAAGACTTGACTCTCCTCTAATGATAGGTCTTTCAAGTAACCCTTCAGTTGTTTTCCCTGTAAATATGTTAATTGAATTGCACCCATTTTGTCTTCAAATTTATTGTTCATGAATTATTTAATTTCATCCAGCCGCTAGTTCACATATGCCCTTTGAGTTTTTTCAAATTCCTCAAGATGATTTTAGGTGATTTGGGAGTTATTGGCCATGGCAGATTTTAGGGCAGTAATTTCTTGGTCTAATAAAGCTTGCTTATCGTATAAATCACGAATGGTCATACAATGACAAAGATGGTATAGTAAAGTGCAAGTTTGGAGTGGATTTAATAACTTAAGGAAGAAAGGCCCCCAAGTTGCCCTCACCTAAATAGGTGAAGTCCTTTTTTAACAACACTAATCCTCTGAGAATTCAAAAATTCCACAAGGATCGTATGCTAAATAGGTAACAACTCGAGTGAAGTCTTCACAGAAATCTCCAAAGGTTCAAAAACCTTTTAGGAAAATCGTTGGAAACTTCAACTAACCTAGGGTAATTTTTAGACCCGAGTATAAGGCTGAATTGTGTGTGACGTAGGTGTCCTAGGTTACAAGAATACTGCTATCAAAAGTCACAAATTAACAATATAATGATCAATGTAAATTCCTTTTATATATACATATATATATTTCAAAATATTAAATTAAAACATGATTAAAAATAAATAAAAATAAAAATTGCAATGCTTAAAGAAACCAAAGTACCACACAACAAAGATTTCAGAACTAGCTATGAATAAAACACCTCCCTTTAATAACCAAATAAGCCAGTTAAATGAGAGGGTCGTCGGCCTTACCAGCGTTGCTTTAGGAGCCTAAAACAAAAAGTTTTACCCCAAAATAAGTTTTAAACGATGACTTATGCCCCTCAGCTTTTTCAGAGTTGAAGAAATTCCACGAATACACAAGAAAACGCTGAAAATCAGGTTCTGGCAAAATTGTACAGACGGTGCGTGCGACGGCGCGTGAGGCACATGACGACCACGAACAGAAACTCCTCCGGCGTGTGTGCCTGAGGGCGGAGGTGGTTTTTTTGGTTCTGACCGGATTTCTCCTCCTGAGCATGATGGTGGTGTCCGTTCTCGGATCTATTGTCGGGAAATGTGGCTCTGGGTGCTAGCAGTGTGAACACAGAATATGCTAAGCTTCCCTGTGAGTTTTCTCCGATCTCTGACCGCAGAAACAGCCTAAGAACATTCAAAGCCTTGCTCTGATACCAAGTTGATGTAAAACACAAACACTCACACTCACACTGATTTAAATAGAAAAGGAAAAGTGAGATGAAACAAAAACAAAGAGTTGTAGGGAGAGGGACGAGAATAGGGTAGTGGGGGAAGAGACGAGGAAGGACAGAACAAAGAGGGAGGAAGAACTGAGAGGGGTAGGACGCAGACTGGAGGGAGAGAGTTTTCAGAATATATCAAATAACTTCATTCATTTCCTTCCTAACAAGGAAACGTCCACTTATGCTGCCTGGTTTCCTTCACAAGAAGGAAACTTACAAAAGTTAAGTGAAGAGCAACAAAAACTAATAAACTAATAAAAAGCAATAAAGAACTAATAAATTATTTCCTCCTAAAGTAATATTTGCCATATTTTCTATCACTTTGCTAATCTCTTTGCCAACATGGTAAAAATATGCTGATGAAATGAAAATAAATTGATCAGGAATGATTAAAAATAAAAGCTAAACAGGAAAAAAGCTCACTTTTTATATTTGGCTTAAATAGAATGTCGGAGACAAATGTGGGATCAAGCTTACATCAGCAAAGGGGTGAGTTAAATACATGTCAGCAAAATTCACTTTGTCCATACTAGCTCATGATCCTCATGTGCATTTTTAAAACTATAGGGATTAACATTAAAAACAGATCAAACTAAAGGAATTGAGAACAATGAAATAAAACTATAAGGACTAAAAACAAAATGCAACCAATGTATAGGGACCTATTGTTGTATCTTTCCTAGGTTTTATCTGTTTGGCTTTTATTTCCCTATCTTTTAAATAGATTGCATAAGAATTACTTCAATTGAAACATACCCAATATTCAAGAATTGATACAACCTTGAGTAACTGACTTGTAGTTAACCAATTAAATCAGTCCCTATTTGGATGCCTTCTAATCATAACAACAAAGAAAAACCAAGGGTACTCTGGGTTTTCAATCACTTTCTTTCCATCACTTTTCACAAGAAAACATCACATATGCAGACTAATAAACAAGTAATCATAAAACATCAGTATAGTAAAGACATCATTGGGAAATTCATCATGATTATTAAATAGCAGAAGCATGGATCTTGAAATTACATCAATGATTTCACCATCTCTACTTTTTATGACATGAAGCAGATAATTTTCCTCCTTTCCATCTTCAGCAAGTTGAAAGGATCCAATAACAATCGAATCAAGTCGAACCCACTTGATAGAATCAACTGGTACAATTATTATTAAAAAATTAAAAAAAAACATATTAGATAATTGACTAGTAAAGAAACGCAAGAAAGAAATGAGATGGCAAAATGTGGCCAAAATTTTTGGACATTCATCGCTAATTTTACCCAAACTCCAAATGTCATCATTATATTGATGCTTTCCTTGTATTTATTGAAGGAGAAAGAATATTTCCAAAAAGTTTGCCAATTTTTAAATCCCACATAAGGGGACCCCAACCATGATCCAAACAATAGTGAGATTGAAATTTGTTCTTCAAACATGGCAATAAATGTTTATAACATTCAATCTTGTGACACCAACAAATTCGCACACACAACACAAATGAATAGACAATGCGAACCTTTTACTTGGCAGCTTTCCCCAGAATCACCAGTCCATGATCTAAATGATAATGAGATTGAAATTCGTTCTTCAAACTTGGCTGACAAAATGTTAATAACATTCACTCTGGCAGCCGCAACAAATTTTCCTTCTGCACTCCACTCAACTTTTGAAAGGAAAAAAAAAATTAAAACAAACATCAGAGAAAGCTATAATTAATTCTTTCTATTTAAAAAAGAGAAAGAAAAGAGAAAAAGAAAATCCAGCAAAGATTAATGACATGCAAGGTGATGATTTGAAGTGGTATAAATATATGATTTAGTGATTCCTATATTAGAGATTAACGATTAATAATAAAGATATTTAGAGTTTTTGAGGGTATGACAGTGGAATCTCTCAAGATCTTATCCATTCTACTATGGCATCCTACCAATGAGAGAGGTGAGGTGGAAACAGCCTCTCCTAAAAGTCAATAAATCAAAAAATACAAAATATACATGATTGCTAATACAAGGGGAACACAAGAATTTCAAGTTTTAAAACTAAAATAAGCATACCAGCATCAACATTGTCCATCACTTCTTTAAGGGGAACATCAACTTCTCCATTATACAGTTTCCCCACATTAGAAAGAACAATAAAAGATTTTTCTGATGTTGTTTTCCAGCGCATATCTTTAACAAAGCTCTGGTCATTGAGTGAACAGGAAAAAGACTGCTTTACATCCTGAAAATTGACAAGATGACAAGAAAAAACCCAAAAAAAACTGGTGATCAAACATATCCAGCATATATGTAATACTAATTTAAACAACTACTACCCCTGATAACATTGACCATCTTTGGGCATAAGAACTGAAACTTTATCACAGAGATAGATACATCACAAAGATGGAAGAGAAGACACAAATGATGCACTAACACCACGGTACCTTAGTATTGGTTTAATTTTGGCTTCTTAGTCGATTATAATAACCCACAACCCTAATAGATCAGCATATTTAGGGTTATTTGATTTAGTGGATAACTTACTAAGTTACAAGTTTCCAAATCCTTCAGTTGTATTAGGCTTCAATTTATCTGATGCATATGTTACTGGATCTTACATTACACTTAACAGCTGATTTGGAGCATTTCTCCTTCTATGCTTCAAAGATTTTGGCTAAACAGAAGGTATAACCCAAACAATATATAGTTTATGCACTGATTTAGAATTTAGAATACTTGAAAGGAGAAAAATCTCATATTTTTTAGAGGCTTCTTCTTGTCTTTATTCTTTACATCCTTAAGTCAACAAATTTTATTAAGAGCTTCATTGTGGTGTTATGATAACAGGTTGTCCTCAAAGAAAATGATTTTGTTTGGAGCTACAGTGTAGTGCTCATAAAACAAGGGGACTATGGCCTCCTGTCTTTCAAACATACAAAGAGAATGGGAAGCTTTATTATACATTGAAATTTTTTTGTCTTCCAAGGAGAGGATTCAAACCTTCTCATCAATATATTACTAAAATCTGTTCCACTAAAATACCTCTTGTGAACAGTAATAGCTCAGCTTTGGACTTCGCTACCCACATTTCAGTTAGGCTATGCATTTTATGGCTCAACTTGAAAGGGACTAAGGGACTTTCTCTTTAAATAAAGCCTGTTTAAAAAAAAAATTATGGCAGTGACATATCCTTCATCTTTTTCTCTTCCCAAAAACACTCCTCTAACTTGACTCCAATCTTTCTTCCTTCCTTCTTTCTTGGTGTGCTTTCACTCGACTCCCTCCTTCCCAACTCATCTTCATCTTCTCTCACTGTCTAAGCCTTTTTGCTTCGTTCAAAATCAAAACAGTCAAAGCCACTACCGACTTCCACACTCGCGGTCACTCTATCTGTGAAAGCCATCACAGGCTTCTCTACCTCAATCTTTCCGCCGTTCTCTCCGCCTCGAAGCTCCGTAGATCTCTTTTCTTTGAAGCATCGTCCTTCAATTTGCATCCAGCATGCATATATCTATGCATAAAGGATATCCAAGAAGTCGAATGCCTTCTCAAGTCCAACTCTGTCAAGAATCTCACTTCCCTCGCCTCCCTCTTGCCAACGTCATCTTAGCCGACAGTAGTCCCACCCTCTCTTAAATATCGCCAACGGTCTCTGGTACGTTCAAACTCTTATACTCAAGCCCCTTTTTTTTCCTTAGTGTCTTTCCTCAATTCATTTGATTGTAAAGGGTTACAATGAATGGATTGGAAGGATTTAAAATTGTGATGTTGAAAATTATTTTTCGAATTGTCACAGGAAACATTATTGATGTGATTGTCATATAGAAACTCCCGAGGTATGTCTCTCTAGTAGCTGTGTTGTCTACCTCCTTACTGATTCTTGCTGTTTGGTATTGTGACATCCATCATCCAGTTTTCCCTTTTAACTCAAGAGTTCCCGAGTTTGAGGCTATCATTGTGCATGGGTGTGAGTGTTCACTATTTGGATTTTGGATTCTGCTTTGTTGTTCAAGCTCTGTTTTGGCATATCAGACTTCATATATGTATTCCACTCTTGAAAGAACTTTTTTTTTTTTTTGTTTCATTGAGTCTAAGTTTTTGTCTTTCTTCATTCAAGGTTGAATAGGGCTGAGAATAGCTTTACAACAAATTATTCTGTTAAGGTTTGTAAATCATCAGTTTAATTTTTTGTTCTTCTGAATATGGAAATTTAATGGATTTACTTTTTAGTTTTAGCGTTGCCAACCCCTAAGGCTTGATGTACATTTCAGTTTTGGTGTAGGAATTGGCGGGATGCGTATAACTGCAAATGGATAATCAACAAACAACTTATTTTCCCAGAGAGAAATTCACATAGAGAATTGAAAACTTCTCTAGGTTGAACTTTGACAAGTTTTACTTCAAGACTCTCATTATGGGCGATTATCCATGTTATTTCCTTTGGTTGGAATTTACTGAATACTTATGTCCTCTTTGAAATAATTCGCATTTGTGGTTTGAATATGATTTTCTTTGGGCTAACCATCAGGAGAATTCTTATATATCTTAAAGGGAATAATGTGGACTACTTGTCTTGATATTTGGATGCCGCAGATTCCACGAGTATACCTGCTGGTTGGTCCAGATATGCACATTTCAGATTTTCTGTAATTAATCAAGTAAGCGTGCAGAAGACAGTCAACGGTACCTTTTGTTGTGTTTCTTAATGTGTTTTTTATAGAAGTATTGCATTGAATCTATTTACATTTCCAGTAGATGATTTCATAGTTAACACCTGACAGCCTTATTTTCCATTTAATATAGTAAGTACTATGCCATTCAAATTTTTACTACACCCTTCAATTCTTAGCCGCCTTATTGCTAGCATTATCATTTTTAGTAGTAGTCTACCGGCCTTGATGATTTTAATTTAGAAATGCTGTAAAATGCAACTATATATTTTAGGGAACTTTGTAATTTCCCCTTCACTTAAATGGAAAATTCGTTGAGAAATATAAACAATTTAATTTACATTAGTTAAAATTAAATGATTTAGGTGGTTGGACACAAATTGTTTGGTCTGACTTGCCATAGCTTCAAATAAGGACACTTGGGATATGATTTTTTTTTTCCCCAGAGGGTGTTTTTCTGAAGTTTCCAGTAGTTGGTTTATGATGCCTTCAAATTCAGGGATTTAAGGATAATAATCCTTTAAATGAGAAGTTTATGCAGGAAATTGTGGCCTGCTTTTATATATAATGTTCAAAGTTTTGCAACTGATTTTGTACTTTTGCTATCAGGCAATCCTTTTCTTAAACGAGTTTTGTTGCTCCTTGTAGGTGCAATGACAATGAAAGGAATGCTCTAAAATCAACTCCTACTTTTCTTACAACTGAATTGAAAAGATGTCTGGTATGAGAAAGTTTGCAAAAACTTTATTCCTAATCACTTGCTTACAACAACAACAACAACAACAAGCCTTTATCCCACTAGGTGGGGTCGGCTACATGGATTGCAAGACGCCATTGTACTCTATCATTAATCAAGCTTTTAGAAATATTATTAATTAAGAGATCACGTTCAACAACTTCCAAGAGTGTTCTCTTAGGCCTTCCTCTACCTCTCTTAATCGGACTCAAAGTTATATGTTCCACTCTTCTCACTGGTGCCTCCCTTGGTCTTCTTTGTACATGCCCAAACCATCTCAACCGATTTTCTACCATTTTTCCTCAATAGGTGCCACCCTCACTTTTTCGCGTATGTGCTCATTTCGAATTTTATCTTTACGTGTATGTCCGCACATCCATCGTAACATTCTCATCTCTGCTACTCCAACTTTATGCTCTTGCTGTCCCGTTAGAGCCCAACATTCACTACTATATAACATTGCCAGTCTGATAGCAGTGCGATAAAACTTTCCTTTAAGTTTATTAGGCACCTTACGGTCACAAATAACTCCTTTAGCTTTTCTCCAATTAAACCACCCAGCTTGAATTCTATGTGAAATATCTCCACTGATTTCGCCATCATTTTGAATAATGGCTCCCAAATATCTAAACTTTTCCACTTGAGGTATAATTTGATCTCCCAATTTCACTTCCAAATTATTTTCGAATAGTCCTTTACCAAATTTACAATATAAATATTTCGTCTTACTTCTACTCAGACGAAAAACCTTTCGACTCCAATGTCCTCCTCCATAACTCAAGTTTGCAATTAACCTCTTCTCTTGTCTCTGCTATAAGAACTATATCATCCGCGAAAAGCATACATTTCGAGATTTCCTCTTGAATATGTTCCGTCAAAACATTTAAAATCAAGTTGAACAAATAAGGACTCAGAGATGATCCCTGATGTAGTCCAATCTTTATAGGAAAATCCTTTGTTTGACCACTAGGCGTTTTTATACTAGTTTTTACCCCCTCATACATATCTTGTATGGCTTTAATATAAGCAATCCGTACTCCCTTTTTTTCCAACGCTTTCCAAAGCACTTCTCTTGGTATACGGTCATAAGCTTTTTCCAAATCAATAAAAACCATGTGTAGATCTTTATCTTTACAACGATACTTTTCCATTAATCCCCTTGGTAGATAAATCGCCTCTGTAGTTGATCTACCTGGCATAAAACCAAATTGATTCTCAAAAATACTTGTCTCCAATCTCAACTTGTGCTCAATTACTTTCTCCCACAATTTCATTGTGTGGCTCATGAGTTTAATCCCTCTATAGTTAGTACAATTCTGAATATCTCCTTTATTTTTATAAATAGGAATTAATGTACTTCTCCTCCACTCATCAGGCATTTTTTGGACCGTAAAATTACATTAAATAACTTAGTTAACCATCTCACCCCTTCTTCACCTAAACATTTCCACGCTTCGATAGATATACAATCGGGTCCGTTGGCTCTACCATTTGCCATTTTCTTAAGAGCTTCTTTACCTCCTTATCACGTATTATTCGATAGAATGACAAATTTTGTTCTCCTTCACCAGTTACTAAATCCTCCAAGTTACTAGATGAATCCTCTCCATCATTGAAAAGTTGAGAAAAATAAGTCTCCCATCTATTTTTAATTTCATCATCTGTGACTAAAATTCCTAATTACTTACTTAATTGTTAATAAATTAGTAGTATTTGCTTACAGGGAGAAATTATTCCTACCTTACCCTCCTTGATTCATGTGACTTCAGCTGTGTAAATTTAAATTATTCGTATTTCCATGGTTTGTTTTGATTGCTAACCATACTAGGCAAATTGTTGGAGTGCACATCAACTTTTCTTTAATCAAAAGCTATATATATGAGAAGTTGGATTTGTTAAGAATGAATGACACTATGAGCACTCTTTTAACTGAACATATACACATGGACTACTACCATCTGAAAGTCCAAGTTTTACTTAGTGTGATTATATGCTTTCTAATGTCGATGAAACTGCTTGTCAGTTATGTTAATATAGAATTAGACATATTGTACAGGTAAATTTGAAAATTGATAGAGTAATGATGATACAAGGTAACTCTTTTTCCACTGTTATTAGTGATAAAGTAATAATAGACAGTGCATATTTCTGAAAGTGTTCAGGAGAGATAGGGAAAATGTGGAGAATCAGGTTTGGATTAGTCTGAATAAAATGATTCATTTCTGCATCTGATTTCCAATTTTTCTTGTAATTCAGAATTTAGGCTGGAAATAAATCTTTTCCAAACATTTTGCCTTTAGGTTGAGTATTCCGTTTTTTTTTTTTGGGTGATTATTAGTCCATAAAAATTGAAGAACATGATCTCATAATTTTGGAGGTTAATGTTACAAGAAAAGATTTAGTCTTTATTAAAGAACATGATCTCATCAAAATTAAAGAACATGATCTCAAATTGAAGACTTGCATTCTTTTTTTACTACAGTATAGTCTTTGTTCGGACTTATCCCTGCAGTTGGTACAAACATGACATGTTAAGATCTGAATCTAGAAGTTAAAAAAAAAAATTGCTTGGGATTAAATAAATTACAGCATTCGACACTGTTTTCCCTATTAAAAAGAAACGGCTGGCAAATGTAAAAGGCCCCACATTATGCTTACTTTTAACTATATTCCATTGAATAAAGTGGACACTTTTTTCCGAAAACTTTCAGAATAAGCTAAAAGAGGAGTGCTCTGACTAGAGTCAGAAGAAACAAGAAAGCACCTAGCCTTTCACATTGTATTAGGTGAAAGAGTTTTGTATAATTTATACTGTAGATTGTCTATTTTCCTGGATCTCTTTTTCCCCCCATATAATGATGTTTTGTGTTCATTGATGTTTTGTTAACATGAGGGGAGGGGTCTCATGTATGAATTTTTATTAATCACTTCGGTAATCTGCCTTCTACATGTGTGTGTGTGCGCGTGCCTGTCTTATTCTTTATATATGATAAAAGAGAGAAGTCTCTGTCACAGCATTCATATGCACTCTCAGAAAGATTAAAAAGTGTATTAGCATTCATATGCACTGATCAATATCAATGGGGGGGAAGGACTAGCAGCATTGAAGTATATACTGATTTCCATTACTGATAGAAAATCTAATACTAGGTATTGTACCTTGCTACATGGCAATCTAGTGGCATGGTAAAGTAACAAGCAGCCTATAGTGGGAAGGAGTTGTGCTGAAGGTGAATATAGAACTTCAGCAACGGAAATGAGTGAAAGAATGTATATATGACAGCGACTTAAGTACCCAAAGATTGAGGTTCTTGCTCCTATGAAACATGGCCATGATAGGTATGGCCAAGACCACTATGGCCTATACACCATAATAGAACAATGCATGTGGAAATAGTTCATCACTTCAGCAGGGAGATGACAGAGTCAAACATCATTGATCTCTACTATATGGTATCTAACTCTCAAGTGGCAAACCTACTCATTAATGACTAAGCACTCTCAGTGATCGAATTTGAAAAGCTTAACGGTGAATTCAGAATGCTGAACATATATCCCTAACTTGAAGGGGAGTGTAAGCCCAAGTAACCAATTTACCTAATTATCTTACTTTATCTCTTCGGTTATTTGATTATGTTCTGTCCATGCATTTGAAATATTAATTTTATTTGCTCTGATTTGGTCCATGATGATCAGGATTGAGTTGCTGGCTTGTAGAACCCATTCCCATTTATTTATAATCATTGGTTGAACAGTATATGGTATAGGAAAAACCCCGGTTTCTTCAGAGTTTCTCCAAATTATTGTAGAATAGAATATATGAACTCAACTGAAAAAATGTAATGATTTCATTAAAATGGATTATCATATTTAGAGCGTATCGCTTTATTAAGATTGTGATGCCCAGGTCATCCTTCTTCTTTGCTATTATTGTGTTTTCTTTGATTGTACATAACACTTAAAACTATGTTCCATGGCAAACAGCATGGTAATACTTGCTAGGCAAAAAATATGCCATAAAGCAGCTTAAAAGAGACAAGGACAACCAACTCAATAGAAAGTTGCATCTCAACAGGGGAGAAGCATTACCTTACTTAGAAGGTTATCAACAGAGAAGAATTGTATATCACCAGAAACAGACGCTGCCACCGTCGAGTTGTCCGTACTAAGAGCCAATATGTGAACCTTCCCAATAGAAACATCAGCAAGACTCAGCTGCTGTATAGGAGAACCACTGCCCTTCTCCTTGAACTCTTTAGCTGAATCCATGACGTCCTTGGTCCTTGCAACGAAGAAACCTAAAACCCCAAGTTGAGCGGATGACAAGGCCATTATAAATTTATAGCCCGAATAACAAAACACAAAGAGCATATCAACCTGAGGAATGAGCGACAAAAATGAGGCCAAAGCGTTCAGAGACAGCAAGAGGCATACAAGGCAGGCTTTCAAGATCAAAATTGAAGTCATTGGCCATCAATGGAATGGCCTCTCCTATCTTCACAAAGAAGTAGTCAGTGGTACCGACGTGCTCGCCTTCGCGTTCATCATCTAGGTCAATCCTGATTGGACAATCGGACGGATTTGAAGAACCCATGATACAACAAGCCTAACTTAAACCCTAAACCATTCCCCACAGAACTAAACTGCACTCATGCTGCGGGAAGAAGTGTTTTGAGCGGAAATTTATAAACCTGCATCGGGGACAGGGAGCACCGCCCCGCGCGCGCGTGTTTTTGTGTGTGCGCGTGTGTGTTTTGGAATGAAGGCATGTCTTTTGTATTTACTCATTTGGCCGTCATTTGTACCAGTCACTCATGGATTATTAATTTTTAATTGTTACTCATCGATTATTAATTTCTTTTTTTCAGTAATTCACAATTTCCTATTAATAGACTTAAGAGTTTTTTTTTTTTTGTCAAAGAATTAAGAGTTATACATAAGGAAGAAATTGTTTATAAAAATATGCATCCAATAAAAATAAATTAAAAACTTTCTCTTTTTCTAATAAAATCAATAATTTAATTTCATTTAATGATTGTGAGATAAGCACAGCATCTACTCACTGAATCAACCGGTGGAAACATTGCTACCTTGGCAGGAAAAATCTTCATTGATTTAATAAAACCAAATGACTTTTTTTGGCCAAGGTGCGTTTGTATAACTGTATTGCTACCCGACTAAAGTAAATAAGCTAAATGGAGTCACAATTGTTGGTAGACTTTGAAGGAGTATTTTTACTGAAACATGAATGGCCAGTAAAGTGCACCGCTACACCAAAATTCTCAAGTGTATATGTATATGATTTCACATTTTGACAACATACACTTGCACTGACCCTTTCAAGTTTACATGTCACTAAACCTCAAATGAGTATTAAAATTAAAATTATGGGAAACTGAAAACACATAATCCAACATTGTCTTAACAAATAACAGAAACGAGACTGACATTTCACAGATCAATCTTAAAGACAACCTCTGGCCAAAAATAACACTTGTCAGCCATGACATATAACAAGAATATACTGACTGAGATGCTTCAGCAATTGCTTTCAAGTTGAATTCTCAATACCAGTGACAACACATCTGAATCATAAGAAACCACCAGCATGAAGCAATCCTTGAACAACAATGACCAAAACCATTTTTTCTTTTGTTATTAAAAATAATTAATTTACTCAAAAAATAATGTTATTCATTGTATTAAAAAAAAAGAATAATATTATTCTTCGAAGAAAAATGTACACACATCTCATGCAATCCACCAAGCAGCATATTAAAGTGTAAACTAGGAAATATTTATATATTTTCTGAAAAAAAAGATAGTTACTCACTGAAGGGTAGGCACAATCCCAGAAGGGTGCTTTTTGAGATCTACGGGTTGGCTGCCTTCCAATCCTTGATCAGCCATTCCCACAAAATATTGTATGCTTCAAGCTGTAGGCCCCAGACAGGGATGCCAATCCATTAACCACAATATTTCAGACTAATTAGTATAAATCTTTGATTTCATCTAAAAGAAAATTTGCCACAAAAAAGTTGTATCGCAAAATATATATATATATATATATCAATCCATGGCAAATAACCCTAACTTTCCATGCTTCCTAGTAGTGAAAATTATGAGCGGATTTCGAAGCATATATAGTTGCAGAATACTAGATCGAATTTCCAAATAATCAAGTATCAACTATAAAACGAAAAACAAAAGAAATCAGGCAAAGGCTAACAGAAATCTACATAAATGATTACAACATAATTACAAAGATCATATTTAAGCTGTGGAAAGATTATCAACAGAAATATGATAGATATCAGACCTTCACGTGTTAACAGTGAGCAAGAAAAGTAGGGTTCTGATTATAGAGATCTGCACGTAAGGAGAATTAAGGAATGCGGAACGAGTAAGAAATAGAGAGGGAAGAACTCAAAGCATAATTACATTACAGGGCAGTAGGTAAGGGAATTTTTTCGTGAGGACATAAAAGGAGATAATTTATTCCAAGGAAGAGAGATAGGTTTGGGTGATAAAGAAAGGTTGGTCGATGGGAGGTACCACAGTTTTTACAAGAGTTTTATATAAAAACAGAACAAGAACCAGGACTTACAGCTGTTGCAAAGTCCATTGTACATTAATCATAAGTTTCTTCAGCAACCACAAATGTTTCTCTTGATCAATACATTTTGTCTGAACTTACTCTAGAACTAACAAGTCTCTAATACTACTAAAAATAGAAAATAGTGCAGATTGAAATACATATTACAGTCAGTTCAATGATTGTAACCTGCGAAGACTAACTAGAGGATTTTGTAAAGATTAGGAATAAACAAGCTATTAACTTGACACAAAAGTGTTAAAAATTGTCGCCCAAATCAACATATAAGCCAAATCTACAATAACAAGAAAATAATCTTACCAGAGTTTGTGACGACATCAAGCCCAAGGTGACGCTAAAATCGTGCGGCAGAAAAATTCCAACAGCGTAATGCTTGCCGGAATACTTGGACAGATGACTGACAACTGCTTTGATGGGATCTGAAGGCAAGGTCGCCCGTGGCTGGATGTCCGGCGTCCCCTCGGTGTCGGAATTTTATGAAAGCCTGCTGTCACGGGCTGAGAGTCTGGCGCAGCACACAGCGCTCGTGCGGCGTCCTGGAGGACCCCATAATCCTCAGGACAAGCCTTACCACATACGGATCACACTAGTTTCGCCCTGCCATGGGCTCATCAGGGAGGCGGCACTAGCCCCCGACCAGTTGTGCACTCAGTCCGAAGACTGAGGCAGAACACCCCAATGCTAATGTCGCCCCCTTTACCCATATTGTGCAAGGCTAACCAGCGGATCGTTCATTATCTTGGTCTTTACACGGTCACGGAGATATCATCCGTGACATTCTCCCACACCCAATCTAGCACGCCCTCCTGCTAGGGGAGAAAGACTCCGCCCAAGGATCGTACGTACAGTACTGCCACAAACACATCAGCTTACTGCTGAGTGGCCACCCGAGTCCTGCACTCTTCGGACCCACTCGCACTCGCGAGCCAACAGGAGTGGAGTCGACAACGGCCAACCTTCCCGCCCGAGTCCCCACTTTTGGACCCACCTGCTCGGAGGCCTTTTTGGAGCGGTGCCGAGGTCGACCAGTCCCAACGTGGGACCCCACAGGCACACGGCAGTAAAGTACGTCCTGCTCTGATACCACTCTGTCACGGGCTGAGAATCTGGCGTAGCACACGGCGCCCGTGCGGCGTCCTGGAGGACCCCATAATCCTTAGGACAAGCCTTACCACATACGGATCATACTGGTTTCGCCCTGCCATGGGCTCATTAGGGAGGCGGCACTAGCCCCCGACCAATTGTGCACTCAGTCCGAAGATGAGGCAGAACACCCCTAATGCTAATGTCGCCCCCTTTACCCATATTGTGCGAGGCTAACCAGCAGATCGTTCATTATCTTGGTCTTTACACGGTCACGGAGATATCATCCGTGACACTGCGCTGGGAAAGCTCTTCAGCCAGTTTTTATTTTGGCTAGATAGTCCCAAAACTAGCTTTACTATTAGTATTTAATATTAATAACAACTAGTTAATAATTAATAACTAGGTTTAATCCCGAAGCAGGAAAATGTTTTAATATTTTAATATATAAAAAGATAAATTTAAAAATAATTTTATAGAACTTATATTATATTTGAAATAAAAGACGTTATTTTAATTTTTTTTAGTTGTAGATATTTGTTTATTTCTAAGTTCTATATAAACATCTCTTAAAATTAATAACTTCAATTACAAATGTTATTCTTATTTTTAAATTTTTATTTTCATCTATGTAATCATTAATTAATTGATAATGAAGTCACATTTGTCGAATCAAAATGACTTTTTTAAATATAAATATTATTTAAAAATTACTCATGCTACCCCAAAATATTTAAATGGGATACTCTTTTAAATTTTTATTATTTTTTTTAAATTTAATAGTTATAAAACTTATTTATTTATTATTTTAAAATTTTAATCCACTATTTAATTTGAGAGGAATGAAAAAGAATATGATTATAATTAGTTAAATTTTTAAAAGTAGACAATCAAAATTATTAAATTTTAATAAAAAGAAAACCAAAAATAAAAAATCAACTACAAACTTTTAACGTCACTTTTATATTTTTTTTAAAAACTAAAGTTATTAAAATTTCTCACCTCTCCTTCATTTCCCTTAAATTAAATAGACTGTCAAAACTAATAAAAATAAAATATTTAGTAAAAAATAATTTGATAATTTTAAAAAACAATAGTAATAGTATCTAAAATGTGCACGGGAAGGTTTCAAGTTGTATGCCATTGATGATAATAGGAGAAAAAAATATTTTCTTGTGCCAGGTTCATCCCCATCATAAAACTTATTTGTTAGCTAATGAAAGACAAACCTAAACAAGAGGATGTTAACTCCCACTTTCCTAGTGACTGCTTTGAAGAAAAAACTGTAAAAAAAATTATAAGACGATTTCTAATTTTATAATAAGATAATGTTTGTAACATGAAATATTTTCAAAGAAACTACTTTATTGATCCGTCATTGTAAATGACAATAAAATATTGAATTATTGTTTCAATTCACGTTTCCAACTCTCAAATAATAGAAAGTGTCAACAATTATGGCTCAATCAATATTTGGGTGTCATGTTGGTATTGGGGTTAATGGTCCTCTCGCAGGTTACGTATCCGAATGGACACTAAATTCACCCCCGACTCCTTTAAAATTATAATTTTTCAATTCTTTATTAGATAGATGGGAAGAAAGGATTGCAAAATGCATCATCTCACAAACATGGAGAATGAATGACCTCAGTGCAAAAGACACCCACTACAACAAAATCCATTTTCCCTTAAATGAAACCATTATAATGTCCCAAGTGTACATACCAACGATTGAAGGCCCTAGGATATTCGGGAGTGAAACTAGCAACCAGAAAGAAGGAAGGTTGAAAAGACTGTAGCAACTATAATTGAAACAAGAATGAACAAAAGCAATCGAGGAAAGATGTAGGTACAAAGATTGTGACACCAAAAATGTAAGAACTTGAATTGTCTTACCTGTGGCCACAACAGCAAGCTAGGTTGTTGGTTCTACAATTCTTGTTACTCCCAAAAACTAGTCATTAGTTTTGCAATTTGCATAGATGAATCGATAGTGAAGGTTTTAGCTGTGAAAACTCACCTAATCTCCCCTCTCATCTCTCCTGCTGCCCCCGTC